CTGCCACTTGTGGCTTCTCTCCTAGAGCCATTGGGGGAGAAAAGGACTTGAAGCCAGCGAACTGTGGTAGTTTTCCACGAAAAAAGGAGGGTCTTGAAGGGCAACAAGTACAGGAGGGGAGGGCAAAGCAACCAAAGCATTAAAGAGTGAGAGAAACACATTCCAGCTACCCATGCAGTTGTGTTGAATGAGGGAAAAAGAGCTAGTGCTCTGTGGAGGAGTAGTAGAAACTGGGAAAGGAGGGGGAGTAGAGCGGTTGTCGCGCATTAACGGGACGAACCTGCTGGTGGTTTGGGGACTGGAGTGGGAGTGATGTCCACCTGGGTACGGGAGGGGTCAGTTCCTTGGGTGCGTGATGGGGTACTGGGGACTGGGAAGACACTTCCAGGTCTTCGGAATGGGGTCGAGAAAGGGAGGTTGGGGGGGGCTCTGGTGGCGAGGCCATCTCCCAAGTCCACGGAAGGAGCAAGGTTCTGGGGCAGCGGTGGTCTGGAGGAAGGACTCTCTCCTCCATCGTCCTACGTATCCATCTCTTCTTCCCCTGGGGGAGGGGACTCGGAGGCGGGCAGGGGAGGGGGCTTTGGACATTGTGTGCATGACTGATCGAAGGCAGGGTGAGTGGAGGAGCAATTGGCACAGAAGGGGACGGAGGTGGGGCAACAGTAGGCCACTGGTTTGAGGTTGCCACCCTTGGGGCATGTCGGGTTCTGGCAGAGGTGGATCACCTTTGTATGGCTGAGGGCGCATATTAGGCAGACCGGGTGGTCGGTCTTGCATCTGGGTGCTTGGTGGCCATAACCCCAGCAATTCTTGCATTGAGTGAATTTGTTTGCGGAGAAGGCTCGTTCAATCTGACAACGTGAGGTGTAGAGGAAGGTCCTGCACACCATCTTGTCCACATCCGAGGGTGCCACCATGACAATATATGAGGTGTTTACCTTGGAGAGGCGAATCTCCTCGTCTTGAACAAGGAACCGTGCTGAGAGGATTCGTACTTCCTTGACATTTAGAATGGTTTCCCTTAGGGTCCCCAACAGGGCCTCTTGATCGTCAGGAAGGAATGAGACAGGGAGGGAGTGGACCGCTAGCTGCACCTCGTTGGGGGCAGGACAGAAACAGAGGTAGCGGTTATCGCCCACGAGGTAGGCTTTATTAAGATAGAAGGAGAGGGCTTCGTAGTATGGTGCATATGCTGTGGCCGGAGTGTGAGGATCGAGGGTAAAGAGGGTTACTGTGCTGCGGTCATTGACTTTGGCTGTAAATGCTTTTGGAAGATGGCAGTTGGCCTCTTTAAGGACCGTTACCGCAGTGTCGGGGAAGGAAGCCGCTATTTCTCTGCTCAGGGTATGATGAGCAGCGAGGGATCGAGGGGCAAAGAACCTTCTCTCAGCAACGGGCAGTGGCCTAGGAGCGGGAGGACTAGCCGGCCTGGTGACTGTTTTTGCAACTTGTGCTGCTGAGGGGGCAGAGCCACCTTGTTTCTTCTTGGCCCTTGAGGGCCCTGAGGACACGGCCTCAGAATAGGATGCTCTGGTCTTGCCAGGTGGGGGGTCATCTGGGTTGGGGATGCCAGGGAGGAATTCAGCTGGGTTGGGGTACTTGCCGTCCCTCCACTGCTGTGCTTCCCATATCCTGGGATATTTGGCCACATAGGCAGCAGGGTTGCCCCTGTACTTGCCTATCGCCGTATCATAACTGGGGAGGTCGGGGTCATAGAATGCCGGATATCCCGAGGGTAGGACCTCAGGGAGGGTGGGGGCTGTGGTGTTGGTGGCTGGCTCTTTACACTTTCAGGAAGGCCGATGGAGCAGGGCAGTGGGGGCCAACACAGGCAGTTGGGGTGGAGGAGTGGGGTTTGCCACCAACCTAGTAAACAGATCCCTGATGGATGCTTGGAGGGAGGCCACGGAGCTCGCCGAAATGTTGGTGGTGTTGACTGGGGTGTCGTTTGAAAGCAGTGTGTTTGCAACTTGGGATAATAGGTCGTGAATTCTCGTATTGAGCACATCGACGGTTCGGGAGAGGGCGGATATGCCGGACACGAGAGAGGAGACGAGGCGAAGCAGGTAGCATTCTCCGGTAGAGAGTTCCAGCACCTCCTGGCGGGAGATGGGGGGTAGGCTTTCGGGGGGCCAGTCTAGCAGGGCTCTCACAGAGGGGATCAGCCTGGCTAGGTTCTCGTGAATGGGGAGAATTGGGGCAGCCGACGACGGCCATGAGGGAGGGTGGGAGGCAGCGCCTTGGTTGGAGACAGGCGTGCCGGAACGTGAGTGAGTGGAGGGGTCCATTGCCTAGTAAGGAGAGACAGTCCCTGGGCGTAGGCTTGGAGGATTCTTAGGTTTGAGGGGTTTGTTCACCAGATGCAGATGGTGTTGAGAGCAGAAGTAAAACGTAGGGGGGGGAAAGAAGAGGGCGCGGAGCATGGGTTCTCCCGGTCACCAGTACGTGATAAATTATTCACCTGATGAAACCATTCGCTGTATTTCCGGGTACCTGTACTAGTACTGTACAGTACAGTATGGAATGTACGGTACGGTGGGAGGGAGGATACTGTGCTGCCCTGTTCGCTAAGAATTACGGCACGGTAATCTAGTTCATTTTTTCTCAGCCGGACGCTCTCCTTCCCTCTTCCCCTTCTCTTGCCACCTTATGATACAGTGTACGAGTACAATTTTGTACTGTACTGTACAGTACAGTGCATACCTGTAAGTTGCCTCCCGCCAAAGATAAAATAATTAAATAATTAATTATTTAGAGCTTAACCCCAACAACAACCCTAACCCTGTAACAATACCTCTCGCTTGCTCTACAATCGCCAAATTTGAATTGTTGTCGCCGCGCGTGTTTTTCTTGGAGCGAGCAAGGTCGGGGAAACAAAGCTTTCCATTGAACCAGTCCGCACTCCACGAAACCCGCAGTCTTACTAAATATTCGCTTCCGTTGCCCTTTCTCCCTTTCTTCCTTTCCCTCTCCCTCTCTCTCTACTTCATCTCTCATAGTTGTTCCCCAATTTCTCACCCAGCCCCTCCCACAATCGTCACGTCTTTGCATAACAATATCAGCCACGCTCCCTCCATCCTGTTTGTCAATCTCGCTTTGACCGTCGGCAACAGCCAGACCTGCTTGACCTGACAAACAACACAGCTTCCGGCCAAAAAGAGAACGGGGAAAGTATCTTTCCGCAAGAATATTCTTCACCAATGGCTCCTTCGAATCCCCCGATATTTCGTATCCCCTCCGATCCTTCACCCTCTGTCGCTCCCTTCTCACCTCCGGTCCCGAACCCCCCTAGCAACGGTCTTTTTTCTGCCGGGTCGACACCCCAGGGACCTCAGCACACCTCTTCCGGGAGTACTCTGTTTGCAGGGATGACTCCGGGGTTAAAATCGGGGGCGGGAAAGCTCGGCCGTCCCAGTAATGGGGGTGGTTTGTTTGGCGCTGACCCATCATCTTCGTCTGCGACTCTGTTTCGATTTGCTACCCCCGGGGGAACTAGCGGAACGACTGGTAGCAACAAGATTCCTCAATTCAGCAAACCTGTCTCCGAATCGGCCTTCGCAGCTGCTCCCTCGGCAAATTTAGCGCGTAAGGGGAACGCTGGGTGGGATGGGAGTAGGTTTCCGTCTACCAACCACGGTGATAACGGGGAGGCCAGCTCCCCAAGGATATTTGAGGACGAATTGCGGAGCGAAGAACCCACCCAACAGGATGACGAAGACATGGACGGGGAATATGATGAAGCGACCAGTATGTTTTTTAACGGCGACGATGACGATGATGACGAGGAAGACGATTCCTACGACGTTCTGCCAGCGGGTTCGGCCAGTAAAAATCGCAAGGTTCAGTACGGGACAGAATGCAAAGTCAAACCGGGGATAGTCCAGGAACCTGGTTCTATGATCATTCAAACTGAGGAAATTATGATGGAGTTGCAAACCCTTTTGTCGCCGGCAGCTCCGTTGGATTATGATTCAGAGTTGGACGAGGAGGATATGATTATGGATGTCGATCGCAACGCACCTCCGCCTCCTCCCAAGAGAGAAGAATATCTTACCCGGGCATCGAGACTTTTCCTCAATACGCTTGCGTCGAATCTTCCCAAGGGTCAGGCTAAATCACGTCTTCACAAGGCCTACTACCTCACATCGCTACTCTTACCCCTGCACCACTCCCGAGCGAATGTGGTCGAGACATTAAGGAGATGGCTTTACACACACAAGCAAGTTCCAACAAGAAAGGAGCTGACGGCGTTGAAGACTTTCTACCCCAATGCCATTTACAGCCATTCGTACTGGAAGATTCTTCTACAGCTGATCCTTCGCGGTGAAGTTCAGGAAGCCATGGATTTGCTTCGCAACGCAGACTGGGATATGCTGAACGAGAGCAACAATTCCGTTCCAAAACCAAAGATTGGCGATACACAAGAGCCCACATGGGATAGACGCTACAGCAGGGAGGAAATTGAGAGCACCAAGAATGCGACAGCCTCCGCGATCAAATTATTAAGTACGTGTCCCGGATTGGCCCGTTCATCATATGCCCCCAGCTCCATGGGATTCTTCCCGGCAACAGGAACCTCTCATGGATCGAAAGGTGATTGGCGGATATGGCAAGGAAAGGTGTTCGCTGCCGCGGAGGATGTGAGGGCCGGGGGTGAAGGCGATGGTGAGACTACGTTTGACGAAACTGATGATAGTTATTACGAAAGCTTCCATCCACGGAATGGAGGCTCATACGGTTTTGGGATCGGTATGGGGAAAGCCAAGGAGAAGAAAACACCGGCGCCCGGCGAAGTCAGCAGAGGTCTCAGAGCAATCTACGATGTTATGAGGGGTGATAGGGAGGCCATCCTTTCTCATGCCCAAAAATGGGAGGATGCAGCGCTTGCGATAATGATGTGGGGAGTTACTGACAGTTCCGATGATCCGGATTCACGTATTGGAGATGATTCGGAAGATGACGACGAAGACGGTGTATATGATGATGGCACCGGGAAAGCCATGAATCGAAGACGAAGGGAAAAGGACCTGATTAGACTCTCAAAAGTGACGGAATGTTTGGTGGAATCCGATACGCCTCTTGACCCAACAAATGAGCTCGAGCTTGCAGCAGGGGCATGTCTAGTCTGGGATACAAACGTTGTTGTCCAAGTTATGCCCAAATTCAGTTTGCTTGTGGCCAGTACTCTTGTCGAGATATGCGGCGCTGCTGGATCGATACAGAGGGGAAAGATCGGGAGTGGGGCAAAAACCAGAGGAGTGATGGGCGGTTTCGATGAGGACGAACTTGCGGTCTTTGGAATGAACCGAGGCTCCGGGACAGAGGCTGAAAAGGCGGATGGTGTAGTGAAGGAATATGCGGCAGGGTTGTTTGGTGTGGAATGGGTCGACGAGAAGGCGCAGGTTGAAGGCTGGGAGGTCGCGGTGGGTGTTCTGCACAGAGTAAGGGGTGGGCGTGAGATGTCGGGAAAGGTTGGTGACCATGACTCCTACTGGGACAACCCGGAGCTGACTGAACTGTGCGCAGCTACTCACCCAGCTGGAGTTGACATCGAAGGAACGTGTTGAGAGGCTTCTCACGTACTGTAGCGAAAAGAACCTCGAAGATGAGGCTGCGGAAATAGCAGCGGTAGGTGTCTTTATCCAATATTGGTAGCGCGGAAAAAAAACCTAACATGAAAAATAAACAGTCGTTTGCAGAACGTCTCTCAGGCACCACTTCCTGTGGCGACAGCCTTCACTTCTTCGCCCTCGCAAACGACCGTTTCTCCCTCCACAACATTCTCACGAAGCTAACCACCTCCTCCCTTCTTCACTCAACCCCTTTGCCCGCCCCCTCGTCACTTGACCCCGTCCTCTCCGACCTCCTGAAAACCCCGACCTCTATTGCCTCACCAATCCTCCGCTTCGAGCTCTCCGGCTACGCCACCCTCCGTAACTTTTACGAATCCCGCGACTCGGGCGACCACCCCCGCGCCGTCAAAGCGCTAGTGGCTGTCCTCAAATCCGCCGGCGAAAAACTCGACGGTGGTGTCTACGATGCGGACTGGGACTCCGCCCTGGAAGAGTGGATGATAGCTGTTCTCCTTGGCGAGCTGATGCCATACATCAACCCACGGAAGCGCCACCTGGGCATGCGTGAGGCCATGGACGTGCTCAAGGTGATTACCAACTTTGAGTGCGTCCGCGGTGACGTGTGGCGGCGGGCGGAGGAATTCCTGCAGCGGGTGCTCGCGCACAAGGATTCCCAAGGTGGTGGGAGCGCTGGCGAGGCGAACGGAATGACGGAGAGCGGGTATATCGCCGGGAGCATGATCAGCAGCTGGGAGAGCGTTCGCGACGGGATTGATTCGGGATTGGTTGGTGCCGGTGCAACAGCAGGGGCAGTCCAGCGAGCATGGGATTGGAGAGAGGGCGCGGAAGGCTGGAAGGTCAGCGATATCATTCGTGTCGTCAGGCTTGGGATTGCGAAGATTGTGGCTGATGCCTGGTTGCTGGGGGAGTGAGTGGTATACGATAATCTCTGTTTGAGTTGGGGGGTTTTGTAATCTTAGTCTCTTTTTTTTTTACTTTTTCATTTTTTTTCATCAAGCGAGCGTGGGAGATGAAGGGTTTGTCCATTTATATATTAAATTTCTGAAATATCACTTTTTTTTCTCTTTTTCTTCCTGCTTTACTATCTTCATTTTTCCTCCTTCTCCGTTACACTTTAGCTTTTTCCATTTCGTATTCGCCAAGTTAATTCTTCATGTAGTCTAAGTCACCAGCAACGTCCCATCTTAGAAGCAGAGGGAAACGATGGAGCATCACACGACCAGCGAAGAGCAGTTACCCAAACTACCACTATCACATTAGCTACACATCCAACTTTCCTGAAACCCATTCACTCCCCGCTCCGCCCGTAATCACCCCCCTTGCAGACCATATAACTCTACTTCCATCTCCAGCTCGTCCCGCACCCCACCGCATCCCAAACCGCCCGAGCAAGCCCAAGGTCAAAAAACAGCACCGCAACGAGCACGCACATACAAACATGAGTCCCAAGGCAGCTAGCTAGCTAGTTAGTTTATCAATAGCAGGAGAATTATATCGTATCGCAGGAAGGGGCAAAGTCAGCGGAATCCAACGACGGGAAGGAAGGAAGGAAGGAAGTGCTTGGGTAGCGGACCGAGTGACGCTACATGATTCTTTTGTCGGTCGGATTCAGAAAACCAGTGCTACTAAATTATAGCTTGCTTGCTTGATAAATGCAGATCACACATAATTTATTGCTTTGATATAGTAGTGTACTGTATATCCACGATATATGACAACCAACCAGGAGCACAACAAACAAGAGCATGTTTTCCTGCCCAGGCGGGGGCTTTTTTTTATCGTAAGTTTCTGCTCGTTGTCGAGGAGGGCCCTTTTCACGCTGGGATGTCCGACGGCGACACAAGTCCCCGACCTTACTTGTTCCCCCCCCCAAAAAAAAAAAATACAAACTCTTTTGAAAAAGAGCCACTTCAAGATCATTCCATACCAAGATAAAAATTACCAATAGCGATTCAGGATGATAACGAAGAAGGATAATATACGTCCGCAAGGTATCATATCACCATATATCATAATCCTTTCAACTTCACGATTCCAATCCCATGCCGTCCCATCCCACCCCTGATAACAAAACAAAACTTCCACTTATCATAGCACATACGGAAGAAAAAAATTTACGCACAATCTGAAATCTACGAGTGGTCGGGTACGATAACTTTCCGCCACGGATATGCAACCTGCAATAACAGTAGACTGGTCTATCATACCCTCGGAGTTTCATGATGGTGTGATGGTCCCCGTGGCTGCTGAGATTGTGTCGTTCAGGGTGGGGTGTTGGGCGGTGGTGGTGACGGCGTGTGAAGCGAAGGGTAGTATGCATAGTAGTAGCTCGATGATGACACAAGCTGGATTTCTTGTGAAATTGCTGGCCGGTTCTTGGGTCTAATACTGACTGCGGCGCGGTAAGTGTGATTCCTGGTGCGGCGATGGATTTTTTTGATGCGTGGGCGGGGTTTGGATGGATGCTTACCGTATTTGAGGTTCTCGTACTGTATATTAGTTTGAATGGGAGAAATATCATGTCTTAGGACGTCCAAGTTTTTTTTCTCTTTCAGTGGCGAGTTTTGTTCTTTGCTGGTATTTTTCAGCAGTCCCTTGCTAAGACACCTGTAGGAAAAACAAAGAGCTCCTGAGACACATTTTCTCTCTTATCCAAGTTGATACGGGTACCATAGTTCCCTTTGTTGATGCTCTAGCTATGCAGCTTGTCACTTGTATTATGGCTTGCCGGGGGTACAGTGCCGGGTCTGGATATCAGGAACTTTGAGGAAATGGTGACTTATTTTTCCGCTTTGCTTTGTGTATCGTGTATTCCCCCCCCTCCCCTTGTTTTTTTATATTCGAGTAAGATTATCACCACGTTCATACCATCTACCCATCACACCCCTATTATACGGCCACCACCATCACCCGGGGTTAACACCGGCCAACAAAATCTTGGAAACCTCCAACTCCCCCCTCAAGCCAGCATTCCTCGAAGCGTTCAAAAGCGCCGTCTCGCTAATCCCGTTGAACCCCAGCCCTTCTCTCCTCCTCTGCAAATACCACTTGAGCACATCCGGCCAGAGCGCCCCCCAACTCGCCACGTTCACCATGGGCGCATCCCACGATGGGTCGCTAATACTCAAGTCCGCGCCCAACTCTATCAACCGCGTGAACACGTCCTTGCGAGAGCTAGCGGCTTTATGCAACGGTGTTCTGCCCTCCTTGTTAACAGTATTGACTTCTGCGCCTCGGGAGATGAAGTACTCCAGGTAATCTATGGGTGTTGAGCTGTATACGAGGTGGCGCACGGCGAGGTGTACTGGGGTATCGCCGTACGGGTCCGGGCCGTTTATGTTCACACCTGCGGATAGGAATAGGTCTAGGAGTTTGTACTCTGAATCATTACGGATTGTTTCGTATGGCCAATTTGTGTCTTTGGTGAATCTTGGTCCGACCAGGCATGCCAAGTGAAACGCTGTCGTCTGCGACGAGAAGGTGGCGTCTACGCCGCGGGAGATCAGCATTTCTACTATATCGACATGGGATTCCATGGGTGTGCTTGAACCGAAGTAGAGGCGTCTGAACAGTCGTATTAGGGGTGTGTCTAGAAACAATCCTCTGGGGAATTTGCAATTTGGATCTGCACCGGAGTCTAAGAGGATTCTCACCAAGTTGGTGTGGCCCGAGTTTATAGCTTCTTGCATCGCGAGGTTTAGGTGGTCCTTGCTGGCTCCTGGGATTAGGTGATTTAGTAATTCCCCGTCTCCGAGTTTTGCTGAGAGGCACACAGGGGGTGGGTCTATGGTGACGCCGTGGTCACGAAGTAGCTTTACTATCTCAACACAACCACTCTTTGCAGTAGTCCCCGCGGCACTCTGTGCGGCACCCTTTATGGCATTCTCCAGTGCAAGTTCCCGCTCCCGTGCCCGAGCGGCGAGTAGGAGTCGTACGGCATCTACCAAGCCGAGCGCGCTGCATAGTACAAGTGCTGTCTGTTTCCTTTGCGCTTTCCGTTTAGCTACCGGTATTCCAGGTACAGCTTCGGTATCGGCTCCTGCCTCGAGGAGGAGTCGTAGGATCGTAAGATCTTTGGCGCGCATGGCCGACCGAAGCACTGACTCACCCCGAAATTGAAGTCGATCGACGGGTGTACCGGTGTTTAAGATTATTCGCACCATCGGAAGGTGGCGTTTGGCTACGGCCCAGTAAAGGGCCGAGCGTGTGTCGTCATTGATTAGTGCGCGTTTGCGGAGGGGCGGCGTGAGAACTGAGGCGAACCGGTTGCTGGTCCGGAGGAGAGCGTTGAGGGCGGGAGTGGGGAGGTTCTCGGATATCAGAATTATTAGCTCGTTTGGGAGGTGGTTGATCGACATTGCGGGGAGAGCGGATGCGATATTGACCTGGACGGATGGGATGTGAAATTCAACTTATCCCCCCAAGATTTGACCCAATGGAAAGGGGGAGAAGGCTCTGAGGTTGCCCGTTTACCCTTTCCACCGTATGGACAATCGGCGCTCTTGTCGTATTATGAGACTCGGGCAATCCGCTATCTCCGCCAGGCCTCTGATCTCCGCGGCCAGAGATAAAACACTTCGTGAAGCAGTATGTAGTGTTTGACGCGGTGTGGTTTAAGCGGGCTGAATTTCCTGCATCTCATTTACTTGTTCGGCCCAGATTATTGTAGTTTGGCTCCGTTGCCTATCTGGTACCGGCAGTGTATGGTTTTTTTTTACAATATCATTCCGGTAGTCCCGCGGTGTTGTTCGACTGACGATAGATAACTCGGCCACAGTCTTCATCGTGCCATCGTGCCCCACGACGAGACGGGATCGGTGACGAACAAGGGCCAGTAGCGGGTAATTTCTGTTACCCTACTTTAAAAATTTCCTCTTTCGACCACAAAATAGTCCAAGTTACCTTACCGCAGAGACATGATTTACCAGCACAAGTATCGCGGTGCTAATTCTGTACCCACGCACGTGCCACGGAACTCTAGTAGAGTTAGTGGGGGAATCCAGCCCCAGAGTTGAACAGCGATTCTGCAAGCTTTTGGAGTGTAAATTCTTTGGAGTGTGTAACGCCTTTTTTTGTACTGTGCACACTTATAACTTTACGAATCATCTCAAAACTTGGACTCGAAAAACGTTTTTTCAACTCTTGGGCTGAATGCCTCAAGTGAATAGTTAATTCAGGTTAACATACAAAATGATCCCTATCTTGTGCTTACAGTACTCGAGTACGAAAACATCTCCCTGGCACTTGTGCTCGGGTCCCGGTATGGGACAGGGGATACGGGATTAAGGTGTTTATAGTTAAGTCGCTGCGCAAGCACCGTCAGTGACACAAGCACGAGTAAAAATAACAATAATATTCAATTCGGTAGGAGTGATGCCAAGAAGAGCAGGAGGCTTTGATAGTTCGAACCTCCTGCCCTTCTCATCGCCAGTCTCCATCCCGTGTGAGTGAGAGTTAGAAAGCTCTTCATTCTGCGGCATGTCACGGTAGTGTCTCCGGTGGGTTCGGCTGGTTGAAATCGGGCCGGTAATCAAAAGACCAGGAGGCCCGGTCTGGAGAGGTTGGAGCCAGTTGGATGGCGCGAGACCCTTCCAAAGTTCTGGTAAAGTGAACAAGATGTTTCCCACGAATTCCTGCTGCAGTTGATCCTCACTGCAACTAAAAGAGCGCTCGAGGACCGCAGTAAGGTGCCGTCCACCACTAAGCTTTTCCATAGGCACAAACGTTGACCGGTGCATATCAGGGCGAGTAATATGTGGTCTGGTTCCCCTCGACCTTTGTACATTGGCCTTTCAAATTTGCGGTCAACTGGGGCTTGTATAGGCTAACCTATACGGCCTTTGGGTTTTCGGACAGTCGTCGGCGGGCCCGCTAGAAGCGTGTGTTGCGATGACATCCAGACCGCCCAAAAGGTTCTAGATAATGGCATCCTCGATACCGTCGACAACGCTACCTACTGAGCGCCTGTATGAGTGCTTTTAGCGCTGCCAAAACCTTATCCACACTTTACTCGCTTGTGATATGGATCCCAATGCACGGGCATGCTCCTCCCACGACGTGCACCCCACCGGGCTCGTATGAAGCGGCAAACACAGTGACCTCGGCGCAGTTAAAGTGTTGCTAACCCAGGAAACAATCCCTCTCGATGATCAAGCCACACAGCCTATCAGACGCCTCCTCTGTAGGTAGCTGTCAACTTCGGCCGCCGGCACCGGTAGGTTGTACGTAGCCTACCTCCTCCCCTGCGGCGCCCTGGGCAAACTCTAATCTCGAGGATACCCACGACCCTCAGGCATATCGTGACTTTGGGGATATTCACCATCGGGCATTGCTTAGTGCTGCTGTGCAAATTGGCGACTTAGGAGTTGTGCGGGTACTATTTAATAGAGAAAGGGTTGATCTGAACCCTTATTTCGGGTGGGGGCGCAGCTCTGCACGGTGCTGCTGAGTTGGGAGAGCTGGGGGATTGCGTAGATGCTATCAGGAAAACGGGAGATCAGCAGAGACCTGAAAGATGGCTTTGGATCAATAGCTCTAGGACCCACCGTGCAGAACAGCCACGCAAGTGTCACGAAGGTTTTGCTCATGAGTAAGGCAGAGATGGACCGGGTGACTAGAGTATGGGCAATCTAGCCGAGGAAGGGATAACGAGGGGCTAGCTTGCAATACTGTACGAGTAGAACCACCTGAGAGGAATAGAGCAGCCAATGTGTTGGTAAGGTGCTGGGCTGACCAGAGGGGGTACTTGGGAGAGTTTATTATAAGGCAGAGTGGAGGTCTATAACAGATGCCTGAGAAAGGTTGAACGAGTTATAGAATAAAAGGTGGTTTTCCTTCGATATCTATCCAGGCATAGATGGTATTTCTTCATCGGAAGGCGGGATAAGGAATTGAGAAAATAAGGGGTAAACTCGGCCACGGCAAACACCTATGAAACTAGTGGGTTGAGGATGACTAATAACAACATTGGGAAGGTACAAGTACTCGTATTTGTATCGGCGTCAATAAGCAGAAAAATACATAGAGGTGACAAGTGATAACACGCAGCTTTCTGATTTTTTATAACCTACTACTAGCCTCTGTCTCTTACTGAGCTTGAGGCGCACATGATTTGATGTTTTCAAGGAGCGCAGTATTATTATTGCGTCTATATTCGACTCTGGGGTCCACTCAACTTTCGCAAATAGTCACAAACCATGACTCGTATGCTAGCTCCAGTTTCTCCCAAAGCAAACTCATGACGCCCGACCTGAAATTCGGACATAGTCCCTTGAACAGGGCCATCACAAGTCGTGGATCGAGCCCCACAGTGGCAGCTTTTTTTCTTTCTGTTTTTTCTCGTTGCGCACCTATATGCGCTATCTGAGGGTCTTTTTTGCCCCTGCGTGTGTGGTTTGTAACAGCTTCAGGATCCTGTCTTGCATGTTTTTTTTGTTTTTTTTGGCCACCAATGCTCCTGTCCTGACTGTTTATTTGGACGTGTGAGGTCTCCTCCCACCCTCTAGCCGAATACCTCATCCGAAATAGCATTAGTTTAACGCATTTATCCCCGCAAGACAATGTAGCAAACTGTGAATTCCGTTTTTCATTCTTTATTCCCATCCACTACCCGTTTTTCTCCTTCCCCTCTGCGAATGGTGCAAGAGCTAAGGCAGCCTGGCACATAAGGCCGGGGCCATGGCATGCCGGTACTCGTACGAGTATAACATCGTGGTCCCTGCAAACTTGGTTTTTCCAAGTCCCCAAGTTCGGTTCCTCGCAGACAATAATTATTCCCTCGAGAAGGGAGAAACGAGATCACATGCCCTCAGATGGGGGCGGAGGCCGAGGGGGGGCATAAGGCCGGAAGAAAAGTCCAGACAATGGATCCTTTTTTTCTCCCTTACTCCTCCTACCCTGCCCTCTCTGTGGACATGTGATGGCCCTGAAGAAGGAGACATCTGAACCTTTGTTGCTGGTGGTTTTTGACAACACTTTGGAAAGGATCCGCAGTGTCTAGGGAATTCCCGGCCTCGGTTGGCCTAGTTGATATGTTAATTCTACCCGAGCCTGTGGGAGAAGATAACGAAGTCATTGCAAACTTTACTAAATGCGCCAATGGCATCAGAAGCTTCAAGCACAGTCGAGTGGGCCAGGCTGGGACGGGATAGCTTCTAAGAGTTATGAGGCATGGACATCGCTGCAACTCACACAGACCATCCTTATCAGACAATATTTGGCCCTCTACCCCTGTGATATACAAGCATTCTAATTCCTTTCAACTGCGTAGCCAGATATAGATTTTCCCTTGTCGTACGAGTACTGATATGATACTCCTGTTGCCTCAATATATCTCAATACAAGGGAGGGTGCCGGCAGCAAGCTGTTTTTCTCATGTTCACGCCGGTCCTTCAGGCCGGTGGGCGGCCTTCTGTCGCTCCCATTTGTTGGAGGAAAACTGGCACCTAAGTGCTGGTGGAGTCGAAGTTGCTGACAAAGCAACGTGGGCTCTGGCGTATCCACGCACTATTGCCTGTCCTTCCAGAGGGTGGTATGTGTAAAGGGACTTAAGCCTTCTGTGAGCACCAGAGCTGGATTAAGAAATCTTTCGGATACAGTAACCCCTACGGCACCGGTACTGTGATCTTTGATGAGGTTGCTTTTTTGGATTTATCCCTCAACACAACCCAATTGCTGTCGAATAATCAGCGGTTCCCTCTCATCTTTTGAGTTCTGGATTTTATACCTCGGAGTACCCGCTTCCCCCTAATATTTCATAGGGAGAAAGGAGCTACCATATCGATAGTCCCGAAGTTGAGTTAGGACGTGGGTTTGACGAAATCGCAACGAGTGATACTGGGGGTAATTGCTGAAAAAGCATCAGCAAAGGCTAGACAAGGGAATCATAAAAAAGAAAGCTTCACTCTAGAGAACAACCTCCTCCGTGCGTCTAACAATATCCTAGGAAATCTTGCTCATCGGATAAAACGATTTCGGCAACATTTCCCGCACAGCCAGAACCTGCTCCCTTCCCCCCCAAAAAGCAAAAATTATACCGGTACATGTTCTTCACTTGCTTTCGGGGCGAGGGAGGAAAATGCTCTAGCAGTGCACGGTATGATTATGCTTCTCCTTCATATTTATCGCTGCTCTAAATCCTGCAAGATTGTGCTCCAGTGAGCTCATTGCCGTGTTCCTTCAACCAAAGGCGTTTTCAAGCCCCCCCCCGCACACGCAATACGTGTGTGAACTTGAACAAGCTACCATACGACAGCTATTCTTATGTCCACATATCCTGACGTGTTATCATTCTATTCCCTTTACACCTAATCCAATTATGCCCAAGATCGAAGAATGGCGGGTTTTCGAGTGATGCATAATGAGCGCGGGAAACACATCTATCTGCTTTGGCAGAAAAATGCCAGGGGTCCTTAAAATTTGGCCGCGCGTCCATTGGCAAATAGGGAACAAAGTAGATATAGGGCAGAAGGGCTGTTTCCAGAAGCACAATAAATCCTTACGCTACCGGCAATACCAGTACGAGTATAGCTACAGCCTCGTTCAGCTTGGTCATCATTACACACCGGAACCTGCAAGTTGTGGGCGGCGACCAGCCTTGCGCATCGGACGGTCTTACAAACCGGGCCGGGCCTTTGGCATCGATGGCCGAACATGGCCCGAGGATGCAATCTTGGCTCGCGCTTTGACGTGGATCGAATGGTGATTGCTTGATGCAAGAGGATATTTTCGATCCTGTGCCAAGTGATCACACGATGAGCACCAGGTATGATACCGGTACTGATGTAGCGACTGTTATATCACACAGGTACTGTACCGTGCAGGCAGGTTTGGTGCCTGAAAAGGTTCTTGTATGCCATAGCGCGACATCCCTCTGCCATAAACTCAAGACATAAATTGTGGTAAAAAATAAAAAGGTTCGGTGCCTGAACAGTTTAATGCTAGTGCCTCAAGACGACCATCCCTGGAGCTGACTGATTGGTTAACCCTATGGTGGGTAAATAACCTTATCCCATTATCCTCGCAACAGGGGTCCATCGCTCCAACACCACACCGTATCAGACTATCAGAAAGCCAGCCAGCAGCTCCTCACCCCCCTCCCCCTCCCTCATTCTGCAAACCAGCTGGTGGGGAGAAGGCGTCAAGCCAAACCAGACAGTTTCAGATAGAAGGAGCACTTTCTTTTCGACGAGCGGGCAAAGCGATGGATCGGGATATCCGGATTGGACCCTCAGCTTCTGTGCTTCTGTAATACGATACGATACGTATTAGACGGATCATTGGGGTCACATTTCTGTTTTTCTTGGCAGATGGGATAGGGTAGGATATGGTAGGATGGGCAAGGGTAGTGCGGGGATGAGTTCAAAATATCATGGGGAAGATGGGTGAAAGGGAAGGTGGTGCTGGAAAATGCGATTCAACAGCCTGTGTTTGCGGGGGTAGTCTGTTGGCGAGAGCGAAAACAGTGGTCCTCAGCCGCGAACTACCGCCAGCGGGAAGATATACTGTTTCGGGGCGTTCAATTCCAGTGGTTTCTGATTACTCGTAATGCAAAGCCGATCAATGTTAGCCTCCATTTTTCCTTTTTATTTTCCCTTCCTCCTCCATCCCTCACGATCTCCCTTCCTTGCTCTATAAGAATGAATACTCGAGTAGTTTGGGGGGTGTAAAGTGTTAGTGAGTGAGGTTCGTAAAAGCACTTTCCTACCTTTGCGGCGGTTTGTAAGCATGTAACATACCGTATTTGTTCCGTTTCACGAGCCGTGGGATGGTGCTGCCATGGTGTCGATGCTCTCGATTTCACAGGCTTCCCAGGGCCCAGCGCGGTATTCTGATAGTGTAGGAGTGGAATTGACTCTATCCTCCCGATCGTGAGAGCATTCTGTGGGCGCAGGTGTATCAAAAAGCGTACGGGTAGTAGGCCTCTCACATCATGAAAAGTGGTGAGAGAGTTTTGTTGTCGACAATTGTTGCCCGGGTATCCTTGCCTACTGCTTTGATGGCGGGTTGAAAGGAATCAAACACAAGTTACAAATCTTCGCGTAGCGCTATCATACGTGGCTTCGTTTGTCCCCATTACGTCTAATACCGGTATGCTATGAGAGCTAAAAAAACGGGTAGGACCACTGCCCAGACGGACAAACTCCACCCGCTTCCCCAAGCACCATCACCATCATCATCGTAGCCATCACCGTTATCAACACCACCCCGCAAGCCCATTGCTTTGTGCTTTTAGCAGCAGCTGCGCGTCCTCGCTGATAGGACCAACCCTCTCGAACAAGCATATGCATTGCTCGCCATGTATTCCGCCTAGCGGAGAGGAGGGGGTCCGGCGAATCAAGAGATATGATGCTCTAATTCCTGATCAATTGGCTCGAATGGGCTAATCGAGGGGGAATTTACCTTTTGCGGGTAAAGTCTGAAACATATACAGTGCGAGCTACTCTGGTGGGATACCGGTGCACCGTGCGCACCCTGCTGGCGGAAGAAGATTTTGGGATTTAAATGCTAAGGTTTGGCTGCTGAATACAAAGTTCACGGTTGGATGGGTGTCGGTACTTGCGGGTTATCGGATCCTAGGCAGTTCTATATGTACGGCACTCGTACTCGAGCAATGCGTTCAAGGGGGCCCTTGAAGAAAGCACGGATAACAGGGATAGTACCGGATTGTACTGTACTACACGGGTGCGGTTCTGTGATTCTCGGAAAGAAAAGAAAAAGAAAAAAAGTTCCTTGGGCGAAGGGTGTGTATATTGCACTGCACAAGTGTCGAGGGTATCTTCCTCACCAACCCCGTAAGTTCTAAAGGCAAAGGGGAGGGCATTTTTTCATATCAGAGACATTGGGTACTTGTAACCGTCAGGAAATCGAGTTTAGCGGTATCATGGTCTCGGTACGAGTAGAGAGAGATGTGCACCCCACCTGCCACACCCTCCCGACATCTGCAATAAACCACCAACAAACTGCAAGCCCTGTTTCGCTCACCAGTCGCCACAGTTTCCAGCCGAGAGAAATATGCGATATCACAAGACGAAAGCGAATGAAACGTGTTCAGGCAACTTCAGAGAGTGCAAATGAGCTGTCACAATGGCTTTGTCGCCCGCGATCTTTCCCCACACCATCGCCGAGAGCAATTGCCTATGATACAGCAAAAGTTTAAGTTCGAGAACATTTAAGTAGGTCTTCCCCCCTCACCCCCTTTCCATTCATCCACGCCAACCCTGGCCCCTATGCAACCCTTTAACACTATTCAAAAAGTGAAGCGAGATGGATCCTGAAGATTCGACAAGACGACTTGAATCTTTGAAGAAAGTCAGCAAAGACTCAATCGAATTCGTGCAAGTATGTTTTCTCCATCCTTTCACTTTTGATTAACCCTAACCTAAACTCTATCCTAGGAACTATTGGAGGAAAACAAAAAACTCGGCAAAAATCTTGCAGACATGCGGGTGATTCACAATAGCATGGTTGCGACCTGTCGAGAGTATGAACAGCTACAGTTAAAGTTTAAAGAAGCAGAACGCCTTTTGGTATGCTGCTGCCTTACCCGTCCGAAATCCAGCTAATAGGGTAGAGTAACAACCAATACATTGTCGTCCTAGTTGACGGTGATGGAATGATCGTACGCTTTACCACTCCTAATCGTACCGAACACCAGCTGACTTTATAACCGACAGTTTGCAGAAGAGTTGCTAGTTAGAGGGAAATCCGGCGGGGCGGAGGCTGGGAGGCTGCTTATCCAAGCTTTAACTGAACTTCTTGTGGCAGAAGGCACGCCGGAGGTACATGTCATGGTTTTCGTCAATATGTATAAGCTTGCAAACGTTCTCCAACTTTCTGGTCGAGTTAAAGAGCCCAAGGTTTTTAAAGATTTCGCTAAAGGATTTATCCAAGCCAAAGAACACCTCTATTTCATAGACGTCGGGGATGGAAAAGAGATGGTAGACAGTCGTATTAGAGGTTTCCTATACACCGAACCCAAACCTCACTGAATAGCCAGGCTGACACGATTAGCGGAATTAAACTTTCATTTACAGAATTACAACTGCCAAAAGGTTGTGCTTGGAGCCTCGCATGATAATGGATACGTCCGAATCCTAAACAGCATACAATCTTCCGCCACACCCGACGAGAGTAAGGTTTGCCTATTGGAGGGTCCCCCGTTCGCCAGCGAATTTCAATCTTTAGAGTTCGAGACACTCAAGTTTTCTCACATCTTCGATTCCCGGAAATTGGAGACTCCCCGTCTGCCCCCAGGGCTGCCGGTCCCATCCAGGCCTGTAGATGTACCGAACCCGTACCCACAAAATCCGGTATCGTACGCCGGTGCAGTTGTGGCACCGCCGCCCCCAGCAACTGCATCGAGACCAGCGAACACGGCCCAGGTGGGGCTCGGGAGCAGGATTAACATTATAACTCCGCAGCAAAAGGCAGCAATGACCAAAATTAAAAGTTTGCAGCCGCCACCTTGCAACGACCATTACATCCTCGGACAGTGCTGGAAAGAGCCATGCCATTTTTCACACAAGTATAATCTAGCGCAGGTGGATATTCAGGCGATGCAGAGTAGGGTCGGCGCTACCCGGTGTGAATTCGGCGAGGCATGCCGGAACGAAAACTGTTATAGGGGCCACTATTGCAGCGCAATTAGGGACGGCAAATGTGTCAGGCCGAATTGTCCATTTTTGGAGAGCGAGCATCCAGACGGCGCTTATACGGGACCACCACCGACGAGGTTGTGGCGCTAGTGCTGGTGCGCACTGGAGCGGTTTGGCGGTGGTGTCGGTTGACGGCGGTGGTGGTGTGGTGTGATGGTGTTTTGAGGTGATGGCGGCGAGAGAAGGTGTGGGGTGATGTAGGCATTTGTCGAGCTTGGGCGCCCCTCCGCCGGCTAGCCGACGTGAGGAAATTCATTTCTATTTCTTTAAAGCCTGTTCTCGTTTTAAAGTTTTAGTTTCTAAAATCTGAGGATTTGATTGGTGACTGGGCGGTTGTTGTTTGTCGGGGACGGGAGATGCGCAGTTAGTATTGTATCGTGCAGTACTAAATGCACCAAGTATGGGAAATCTGTGCCCGACCGTCATCGGCCCTCACTCGGTAGTGGGTATATGCACTCACTCGGGCGAAGATAAATGAGCCAGAGCAGCATGGGCATCGGGGTGGTGGCGTTAACATCTAAGTTTCCCAAACCACGTACAACGTTTTTCTCCATCCATTCATTCAACTATTTATCCATCATCCACACCACCTTCATTACCCTCACCACTGCAACCACCCAAGGAGAAATCCAGTGCCATGATTCAGGAGAGAACCGTTTCCCGGGGGAACAAATAAAATTTTCGAACGGAGGATAAAGGGTCAAAAATTCAATAGCATAACAGTAAGGCCCTGTTTGGCACACTATAAAAAGAGCGTTTTTCTGACTTTTGTGGCATCTTGCGAATGAAATATCTTGATATTGAACCTTTTCAACTTACACCCCTGAAAGATCTTTGTTTTGGTCAAACAGGGCCCTAAGTTAAAAAAAAATAAGGGGGGGGAAGTTATGGCCCAGCAGGAGTCGCGGTAAACTGCCTCTGGTTAGTAACCACCAAACCCGCAACACTAGCACTCGTCAAGGTCGAAATAGCGCCAGCGATCAAAGCGCTTATCGCGAGGCGTGAGACGTCGCCGCTGCGGGACGGGGCAATCTGGGACAGCACGCCAATGGCGCCGCCTAGCGAGCCGATATTAGCGAAGCCGCAGAGCGCGTACACGGCGATGAGGCGGGAGCGGTCGGAGAGGGTTTGGAAGTCCGGGTCTGATTGGAGGCGGGTGTAGGCTACGAATTCGTTTGCTTGGGATCACGTTAGCTAGGGTAGAAGCGCGCGCACGCGGGGGGGGGGGGTTGTTGGGTACCGATCAGTTTCGTCCCAATCAGTTGGGCAACTTTATATATGTCATCGCCCTCGCGCGAGACGCCGAGGAGGAAGGATATTGGGTAGCAGATGTAACCCACGATTAGTTCCACCGTTAGTGGTGGGTCGTTGATGTTTAGGTATCGGCCCCACCACGTTAGCAGCCCGTTGACGAGGCCGAGAAGCGCGAGGACACAGAGCAGGATTGTCATCACCATGCCAGCTATCTTCAATCCCAGCCATGCGCCGTCCGCGAACGCGTGGAGGCTGTTGACGGAGGAGTTTTCGTCTTCCGGTATCACTACCTTCCCCGCCGTGAGACTTTCTTCCGTCTCTGGGTAGCGCAGCTTGGACACGGCGAGGGAGGCAGGGATACTCATTACGCAGGAGGATATCAGTGCCTGGGGATTCACACCCATGGAAATGTACGCTACTAGGACACTACCGGCGATGGTAGCGAAGCCGCTGGTCATGACCTGGTGTATTTCCGCCTGCGTGAGGTGCGCTACGAACGGGCGAATTAGCATCGCGCTCTCGCCCTGGCCGACGAACGGACTTGCGGCGGCGACGACCGCTTCCGCGCCGGAGACCTGCATGCTCCAGAAGAAGAAGGAGGCGAACTTTCCGATAAACCATTGCAGCACGCCCCAGTAGTAGAGGAGTTGCACCAATGCGACGAAGAAGATGATGGCTGGAAGGACGCCGATGAAGAAGTACGGTAGCTTCGCCACATCGGGAGACGTGAGGAACGCTGTCCCGTCGCGCGAGAAGCCGAGGAGCGAGCGTGCGAGGTCGGATACGAAGGTGAAGATGTCGAACCCCGCGCCCGTGCGGAGCACGAAGAGGGCGATTATGAATTGCATTAGCATTCCAACGAGCACCGTGCGCCATTTGATTTTCCGCCGATTGCGGCTGGTCGCTGTGAGGGCGCCTATGAATACTAGTAGGCCAAATAAGGATACCGCACGGTTGTCGCGGGTGTTGTTGAGCGATTCCTCGCTGATGAAGGAGCCCAGCAGGAATACCGAGATTACTAGCGTTGCTCCGGCCGCTATGCGGAACCTCGGGGGGATCGCGGCGACGAGCGGAATTGCGGTCTTGGACCACAGGAATTTGGCGGGGCGCAGGACGTGGTGTGCAGGTAACCAGAAGGTTATGATGCGCAGAGTTATGCTGAGCCAGAGGAGGAAGGGGATGATCCAGTTCTTGTCGTGGCGGTGGAGGACGAGGGACGCTATCCACCATCTGTCCCATCCCATTCGTCCGGACCGTTAATGCTGGAATTGCTGTGATGCCCGGAGGGGGAGGGGGAGGTTAACGTACCCCGTGAACAGTGCAAAAATAAACAAGTGCACAAAAGGCTTATACTTCCTATAATACACCCCTGCCTTCCCCGGTCTCCTCCCACTCCCCTCGCCAGTACTCCTCACGCTCCCACCCTCGACCGCGTCATCTCCCTTCCCCGGCTCTCCTGCCAATGCAGCAGCATGGTTCTCCACATCGTGCGAGTGCTCGTGCGAGAATCGCGGGGGGGCGTGACAGTCGATAACATACGAGGGCTCGAAGGCCGGGTTGTGTGCGGCGTATGCAGCAGCGGAATGGTGGAGGTGCGAGTGGTGGTGCTGGTTTTGAATGTCTAGGGCGGGATCTAGGAGGTGCTCTTTTGGGGGTGATGCCGGGTTGTGGTCGTCTACTACCGCTGTGGTGGGGGCAGCAGAAACGGGAGTGGTGGTAGTGGTGGTGGTGGTGGCCGGGGCGTAAATTGTGGGTGAGGTCATGCTGAGCGCCCTTCCCCGGGTGTTGAATTGTTATACTCGATCGATACGATAGTTACGACGGAGGTGAGGGGGGGCCGGAATGACGGACGGTCACAATGGGAGAAGAGTAGAAAAAAAGGGGAGGGGGGTGGGTGGGGGAGGATATATCTATTCCACTCCGCAATTCCAAAGTCGCGCACATCCTAGGATCTTTGCTTTAATCCTCTTTTCTATCTATCAGGATAGTAGTACATTCCTTCCTTTTTGAGAAAGGTTAGCGCGGCTGCCCGCTCTGCTATCGTAGCTGAGCGGGCCTCTCTCTCCATGTGTGGGTAAGTGAGTGAATCAATAAATAGGGTACTGGTATTGGATTAATGGATGAGGGGAGGGGGGGGGAGCACCTTCCCCGCTTGGATCTGGGTGAGGTCTTGACTGGTCATAGTCCATGCCAGAGCTGCGGAGTTATAGCAGCGGTGGCAACGGGATTGGCTGGATTGGGCAAGAGAGATGGCATCGGTACTTGTACTATACGAGTACTATGATAGTATGATAGTCTAAGTGGGAGTGTTCCGAGCTGATAAAAGCTAGACCCAGATCCTAGCTTACCGCACCCGTCATACCGTGTCATGAGCCTAGGCTCATCCATTGCTGTTTTCTATCAATCAATCTACCTATTCCGTTCACACTTCTAGCCATACTAAATATACCATACTCAAGTATGATACCTGTACCTTATTGTCCGGCGACCCACCATACAGTCCATAACCACACGCGAGAACAAAAGCCAAAAAACCCGGTTCTCGCGGGCGGCCTAAAGATTTCTCCCATCTCCAATCACACACATCCCCCACCGTACCTGTACCATTACTCCACGTTACACTATCTATCCTGTCCTGCATTCACACGGCGGTTTTACGGTAATGGGTATACGGTACCCGCGCTTGTCAGCAATTACGATACAAGTACAAGTAGCGGAACCGGTTGATCGACAAACTTGTACGACGGAGTACAGCGCAGTACTGTACCGTAGACTACTCGTACAATGCTCGTGTGTATGATAGCGTGAGTGAGTGAGATTTGGATAAGGATTCGGAGGGTACGGTATCGGTAGAGGCCTTGCGCTAGCGGGATGTGTTTTTTTTTTGCTGCTGAGGAGGTTGTTGCATGGGGTTTGTAAACTGGACTTTGTTGCACTGCACAAGTATTGTACGGTACCACTCTGCAGGAAGGCCCTGGAAGGGTGCGTGCATGTGGGCGCGGGGGGGGAACTGAAGATATGATGGAAAGGAAGACCCGGAGGTTATTATATGGGAGTTCCAAGTTCTTGCTTGCTTGCTTCTCATGGCTTACTTACCGTACTCGTAGAAAACTACGGTAATCGACAAAGTTAGATCCGGGCATTGATTAGCTCGATATCGTAAATTCCCCCCATCTCTCCCGCAGTGGTACTGTACATACAAGTACGAGAAAGGCGCGTTCGTCACGGCACGACATTTGAACCGAGTTCACCTCAACTCACCAGCGCACTTTCTCACACGTGGTATCATAATATATCGCATGCGAATTTATCGTACTTATTGTACAGTACCTCCGGGACAACGTCCGAACTTTTCATACTTGCAAGACAGGCTTCACATCACTTCACCTTCCTTACTCCTCGCTACGGTTACGGTTACGGTATTTACCCCGGATGGTCCTGCTCTCGGAAGGTGCGTATTGATGGATCGACTATGATACTTACTGTTATCTGATTTCTCTCCGGGGGTGGGGGGGGGGTGCTCAAGGCCTTGTTCCTGGTTTGTGTGCGTGAGATCGGTGAGACGTTTTGGGAGCTGAATTGGGTTGCTTTGAAAAGATGTGATGGGAGGAATACCGGTACGTATCTGGAATTTGCGCTTGGTAATTTCTGATTGATTGTGTAGGTATTATGATAATTAGGCAGGGCGGGGAGAGCATAGTGGAATCGTCAGTTCGCGGGTATGGAGTATGTGTTTTTGGTACTGTACTGTACGAGTACTGTACTGACTGTGTGCTGTAATTAACTGTCCTGTGCAAGGATCGCTACTACTCCTTTCTGAATATGGAGCAATAGTATGACGAAGGAGCAAAGATGAAAGGGTTTATTATACCTCACCGTATCTAAAATGCGTATTATATCTACGGACACGTCTAAGAATTGACACATGCCACGGTTTGTGCTTGAGGAACTGCGACTCATACAGTAGGTTCTCGGTATGATATGATACAGCAAAGAGTACAAGTACTTTCGGCATTACCTATAACTTTGAAAAAAAAAAAAAAACGGTAGGGGAGATTTTTTTACAAGTACAAATCTTTGAGGTAACCTATGCGGTGTCTTGGGTGGCGAGAATTTCCTCTGAACTGGCACGGTGGCTTTTTTTTTTTTTTTGACTATGATACTGTATTTTTCACCATAGTAATTACTCGAGTAACTCAAATACCTTAAGTTTGGCTTGACCTGGTAACTATCATATTATATCCCAAGTTTATATCATTGTGCCTGCTTCCTGTCCCATAACTTCCTTTCGCTCATGTTGTGATCAAATAATAGCCCTGGCGTTTCACTTGTAATTATACACTTGTGAGCGGCATTAGTACTGTACAGTACTCACCTAAAACCCATATTAGCCGAGAAGCACTGGCTAACTTGCGTGCTGGCATTCCTGAGCTTACCAAAGCCCGTGTTTCCCATCCAATCCAATTCTTACTCCCGACCAAAAAGAGAATAAAGTTTCACAGAGTAATATTTTGTTATACAAGTGTTCATTTTTTCCAATTTTTATTGTTGAAGGGCGCAGTTTCAGACGCAGGGCGCAACCGTCAGCGAATTTGAGGTTCTACTGCGATTCTGAGCGCAATGCGGACTGGAAGGGAAGGAGGCCGCCCCTCTTAGCCCGTGGTGTATAACAACACTGCAAGTAGCTCGCGTATACCCCCCTCCCCCCAGCTTTCCTTGCCGACCGACCAGTTACCGGTTACTACAGCCATCTTTCAATCCTGGGTTCTGGCATCCGCCCTTCGCAGCACTATCGATACGCCGGTTCACGACTTCTGATAGATAGCATGATCGGTAGTCGTCACGAGTAATCACTCGAGTGGCAGTGCATCAGCGCGGAACTATGGTGTGATACCCTGGTATAATACTTGTCACACTCTCGGATGATGAGATATAGAAGCCCTCTCTCCCTCTATCTCCCTCCTTCCTCTGCTATGGACATAGCGAGAGATTACTCAAACCACTAATAGTATGCCTCCAATTGTGTGCTCTGAAGAACTCCGTACTGGTACCGACACAACCCTGGCTCGCCAAGAGCAGGTGACCATACCTTCCTTCCGTCCCATGAGTACTCGAGTACCGGTACGATATCTCGACCTGTTTGTCTGCCTGTTTCATCCGGCACGCATGATACACTGTATTATAACCAAATCGGCACACTCCGAATTGGAACCCTCAGTTCTTTGCTTATTATTTTTTTCACCAAAATTTCAGTACTACCACTATATCCTTAGATGTCTACCCCGCGCTCTCTTCTGATTTTGCCCTCCCCGTCATATTAACTGATGTCTAAACTGGTTTGCTCCTGCTACGGTGGATGGGATGGAATGGGTTGGGGTCGGGTAGCTGCTTATCGTGAAGCGGGGGATAAATAAAACACCATGAAAAGAGCTACTGAAAAAGTACCGTTACTGACGGGTTTATGCAGTGGTTGAAGCAACAGTGGTGGTTATAATACTTTTCATTGTTGGCGATGGATGAATGAGGGATACGGGATTGGCCGTCGGGGGTTTTCAGGTCCGCATGGTTCGTATTGGACTGGGTTCAATCGGGGAAGGATCGTGAAGTATGATAGGTAAATAATTTACCTGTAGTAAAATGTCCGTCCACGGTAGATTGATGATTAGTTGCGAGTTAATTAATGCCAGGGAAAGCTGGTGCTAAGCAGAGTGAGTCGACGGGTCTGGTCGACTTGGATGGGCCAGGAAGGGATTTTTAATCACCAAGTAGAAGTAGAATAAAAAGCGAGCTTGGGAAGGAATTCACTTCAGCTAAGCTATCTTTCCTTTTCTCCTTCGTTACCGGCACAAAGTTCAGCCGCACTTTGAACAAACATCACTACGGTACCGCTGCCTCACCCCACGTTATGGCAAACTCGATAGATATCGACATGGACAAGCAGATATCTGAGCATTTGGAGAAGCGGGAGGCGCTGGTCACTAAAGAGAAGGAGTTCCGGCATGGTGAGCCTTCCCCCAACCAGCTTCTCATACCAGTGACCTAATGCATGCATCTTCCAGACCATAAATTCCGAAAATCCCTCTCGACAACGGCGAAACGTGCCGCGGCAATAGTCTCCCGCATCAGGCAGCACGAAGCAGAGACAGTATGGACGAAGGAAACCGTGGAGGAAGAAGGGGACATATACCCCGGTATGATGTTCACTCTTGCTAGGGATCGCATGGAAACGACCGAGTTGTGGAAGATTGTGAAGAAGATGCCGAAGGGGTGTCTGTTACATGCTCACTTGGAGGCTATGGTTGATAGTATGGCTTCTACCTTCCCTCCTCCGCTGTTGTGGGATATTGGATCGCTGATGGGGGTTAGTGGATTGGCTGTTTGGGGTTGCGTTGAGTACGCCTGGGATTCATATATATTCGGATATTCCTCTCACTACGCCGAAGGCGTTGGAGAAGGCGAATATTCGGTTTACGTATTCTCCTACCACACCGAGGGTGGCTGGCGGGCTCTACTCGTCGCAGTACGAACCTGGGAGTCTAATCCCGGCGACTGAGGTTGCAGATTCTTTCCCGGCGAATTTACTCCTGAACGAGCCTTTGGGGAAACAGACCTCCCGGGAGGGCTTCCTGAAGTGGATTATTCGCCGCACTACCATCACCGCGGAGGAGAGTCTGAAGCATCACGAGGGGATAAACATGATTTGGGCGAAATTTCAGAGCATTTTCCTGGTTATTCAAGGGATTATCTTCTATGAGCCTATTTACCGACAATTCGTACCGCCCCCTCTAGTCACCGGACTGCTTGGTTGGGCCACACTGACTTTTACAGGTCCGCCATATCCTCGACCACCTCCACCAAGACGGTGTTCTATGGGTCGAGCTCCGCGCAGCCTTCCTGATGACCTTCAAGGCCGCCAAAACCGGCGCCACACTCCCCCGCTCAGACGTCGCAAAAGTCTTCTCGGAAGTAGTAGAAGCCTACAAGGCCTCCCCGGAAGGCACCGGCTTCTGGGGTGCGCGCATGATCTGGACTAGCATCCGCCGGTTCGACCAAGAAACGATAATAGCCGGTATGAAAGAATGCGTAGAAACCAAAAAGTTATACCCCGGTGTGATTGCAGGCTTTGACTTGGTGGGACAAGAGGACCTCGGACGAACACACCTAGAAATGCTCCCAGAGATATTGTGGTTCAAAGAGTACTGCAAGCAACAGCGCCTCGACATCCCATTCTTTTTCCATGCAGGAGAAACGCTCGGCGATGGGAATGGCTCGGACGGGAACCTCTTCGACGTGATACTGCTCGGCACCAAACGCATCGGCCACGCCTTTTCGCTGCACAAGCATCCACACCTGATCTCCCTGGTTAAGCAGAATAACATATGCGTTGAAGTCTGCCCCATATCAAACGAGATGCTCCGCTTGACGTCGTCTATCCTGTCACACTCGCTACCGGCAATGCTAGCGCATGGCGTCCCCGTGTCACTTAACAATGATGACCCGGGAATCCTCGGGCAGAAGACCACGGCAAGCATGACGCACGACTACTGGCAGGTGCTGCAGGCGTTTGATAACGTTGGTCTGGAAGGATTAGGAGATTTGGCGTTGACGGGGGTGAAGTTTGCCGCCTTCGAGGGCGGGGATGTGGGTGTTATGGAGGGGCCAAGGGTGCAGAGGATGGAGGAGTGGTGGGAAAGGTGGGAGGTGTTTTGCGAGTGGGTCGTGGCCGAGTTTGGCCATTGGGAGGGGAAAGTAGGACTTGCTACGAATACAGTTGAGAAGAGTGGGTGGTGAGTGATTAGTGGTGATTGGGAGTGGAACCATTCAACATAGTCATGTACTGTACGCCATTTGATTTTGATATATCCTTATAATTTTGGGGGAAGAATAAATAATTGTCTAAATAAATATCTGAATAAATTATTGTTCAACCATTCCACTTGTTCAGTATGGGAGCAATGTATGGCTATGCACATGGGCAGCCCGAGAGTTTTGCCTGGGAAACATTCCGCAATTCCCCCCCTCAAAGTTTTTCAACTCAACCACTCCAACACTCCAACAATAATTCCATCAGATGACAGAGTGAAAGATCCCCAGCACATCAACATAGAGAGAAAACAGAAAACATCCCAAGTTTTCAAGTAAGAATGCAGGAGAACACCCTGGGTACGCTACTAGGTATCTAAAGAATCATCAGGGACTAACGGAACATCCATTCATCCGCGAAACATGAACAATTCCGCCGAACGAACGAACGTGGCACCACAATAACCCCCTTCGGAGAGAAAGAAAGAAAAAAGCTTTCTTTTGTCAAGTCACTGAGACGGGGCAACCACCGCGCACACAATACACACAGGCCGTCCTCGAAGCACTTTTTACCTGAATAAGTATACGACACCCCGGTGAACCCATCAAAGTGAAACGTTTGAGAGAATAATAAGCGGTGCAAACTAGCAAACCACTCGGACTCCGAGTGACACTGCATGATCGCTAGGAGCGCTGTTTTTTTTCCTTTTCGGAACACAAGACATGCTCATGTATCGTAACTACCGTACCCTCCCCAGGGGGAAACATCCAACCGAGATCGCTTTTTTTTTGAAATACTCAACTCGCCGTTTCCCTGTCCCTGTAATGTCCGACGGGAAATAGAAGGGAATGGAAGTCTCCGGTCACACAAAAGCTGTAGCTAGGAAGGGCATATTTCAGCATTTTTGTTGCCGTGCGCGCTTGGCAAGGGACTCGATTGGAAGTTGTGCTCGAGTAACCGGTACTGCACAGCCGATTTGCCAAAGTTGCTGAATGAGCTTTCCTTTGGGGGGGGGAGGGGGGCTATTGATTTGATTGGTGTTTTAGGATACTATGATACCTACCTGAGCGTGCAAAGTATTTCGAGTGATAAACTATGACTAGATATTTTTCCTATTGGGATGCGTATTTCATGCCTGCAAAGAGGGTGGGGTGGGGTGGGGTGTTGGGATTTTATCGAGCTTTCTCGAGAGTTTGCGCTGAGGTTATGGCAAGCGCTTCAGACAAGACAAGACCTCGGAAACCCCACACAAGCGGCACTTCCGAATTCCCCCAGATGATATCTGACAGATCCCGGCTCCGATCACTCAAGTGGAGTAAGTTAGGGCTGGTGGTTGAATTTCGGCGCTCCAGGATCACCGCTTTGCCCAGTCTGGTATCGCATATATCGGTTCGGCCAAGGGCCTATAATCCCCGAGACGAACATGTGCAGTACTGTACTACGGATAATGCGGTGTGGGTGTGAGTTTCCACCAACACTGCTACAGCACAGGAGGGAGTTGTAGACTATTCTCACATGCGCAAGTTCGGAGTGGGGTGTTGTATCATTATTTCCTTTTTTCTCTTTTCTACCCGGAGGTGGTCTGCGGGGGATTGCAGTGTAGCGCATGAGTGGGCGTGCGGGGGGGGGGGGGTTGTACTGTACTGGTACTGTAATGCGGCTAAAAATCGGGGGAACCATGATTCCTACCATACCATAACTCTCAGAAAATGGGGAACCCTCCGCACGGTATCTTTTGAAATCGGATTGTGAGTTGGGGCATGCTGCTGCAATGTAATGTACATATTATTTGATCCTCTTCATGATCGTATTTTCTCAGGGAGCAGAGAATGGCAAGGGGGCATGCAGTGCCAGGTACTGTACTGTACTTGGTTGCGGCTTGATATCAGACTTGCGGCGCAAATTTAAGTTATGGTGCACACCAACTGCGAAATACAATGCCATAACTTGGTTTTGCGCGCAAGTAATAGGAGCTGGGTTTTGCGGGTGGGCATGATACCTCGTAATAGTATCATGCCGGTAGTCTACTGTGCTCGAGTATGATAGATTGGGTTTTTAGGTGCAAGGAGGTTTTATTCAAAGAGAGACAAAGCTCCTCACACTGCCATAGAAACAATATCGTGTTTCTAATAATGTGCGGTAGATGTCCAAGTTTAATTATTGCACGGTGAAGCACGAGTTGATATCCTCTCCTCTCCTCTCGGGCACTTGTGTAATTCTCTGTTCTATAGTCTACGGTGCGGGAAATTCAGCCCAGACTGCTGCATCTACCGTACCGGCATGATACTGTACTGTAGTTTACTCTTGACATGCGCTCAACACTCGGGGTGTGGTTACAATCGCCACGAGTCAAGGGGAATATCCCTAACACGGCCACAACTGTTGCACCTGTTTCCCGTACTCGTACTCGTAGGCTTGCTACCGCGCCACAGTACAATTCAGCATATCCCACCCCAGGACCCACATTCCTCTGGCTACTGACTGCCGCCGACAACACACAACTAACCTGGGGGCTCATCTCACAGAATTACCCCTCCCCCACCATCCATGTTCCGGCGAGTCATCTCCTCTCTTGCCTCCATCTCTCCATTCCCCGCAGCAGCCTCTACCAAACCAATGACATCACCTCTTAAACGCCCGGTCAAACTTGCCTTGATCCAGCTTGCTACTGGTATTCCTTCCCTTTTTCCCGTGGGCGAGGACAGTATTTGGGCTGATGTTATGCGGAACAGGAAACGACAAGGACGCGAATCTAAAGCGGGCATCCGAGAAAGTGGCCGAAGCCGCAAAGAATGGAGCAAACATCGTTGTCCTCCCGGTACCTTCCCACTTCGAGTCAATCCCTTCGAAATCTCCCGCGACTAACGAAAAGTTAAAAACAAAAATAGGAATGCTTCAACTCCCCCTATGGCACGGAGCACTTCCCAAACTACGCCGAACCGATCCCAACCCCGGCGCGGACCTTCCCCACTTCCGAAACCCCCTCCTACACAACCCTCTCAACACTCGCCTCCACGCACAAGATTTACCTAATCGGGGGCTCAATCCCGGAGCTGGACCCCGAAACCTCGGAACTCTATAACACCTCGTTGACATTCTCCCCGACCGGCGTGCTCCTTGCAATACACCGGAAGATCCACCTTTTCGACATCGATATCCCTGGGAAAATCAAGTTTATAGAATCGGATGTACTAAGCCCGGGCTCAACGCCCACATTGATACTTACCGAGTACGGGTTTATAGGATTGGGAATCTGTTACGACATTCGCTTCCCTGAACTCGCCATGATCGCAGCGAGGAAGGGCGCGTTCCTGATGCTCTACCCTGGAGCGTTCAACATGACCACTGGTCCCATGCACTGGGAATTACTGGCCCGTGTAAGAGCTATGGATAATCAGGTTTATGTGGGCGTCTGCTCGCCCGCGAGGCGGAAAGACGGGGAGGGGTATACCGCCTGGGGACATAGCATGGTTGTGGACCCCAATGCAGAGGTGGTTGTGGCTACGGAAGAGAAGGAGGGGATTGTGGAGTGGGAGTTGAAGCCGGAGAGGATCTCTGAGGTTAGGAAGGGGATCCCGATTGGTGGACAGAGAAGGTTTGATGTTTATGCCGACGTGGCGGTTGCTGGGCCGACGAAAGGGACTGAGGGGTGAATCCGTTTTTGAGGGTTAGGGGGACACCCATCCAGCACTCCCTTTAGCTGGGGGGGGAGCTGTTGCTACTATGGCGTTGGAGATTTGATGGGATGTCAAAATCCAACGCCTAATAGCAAATAAATAAATATAATAAGTGAATGAACTCATGATGTGCTCGGGTACAAACCAGTGCTCTAAAACGATGCGGAAAATGATTGGACCCAATCATGATATCACCATATTTTAAGAGCCAACAAAATTGATGATTCACGGATTATCGGTACCAATAGCGCAATGGTTTCATCGGGAGGGGGGTCGTACGCACCATTGCTCGAGTTCAGTACTACTGTTTTCACTATGGGCTGTCGCAACTTTGGAAAACTGAGGATGCAGTTTTTCTTTTCTTTCGACAGATGGTGTTTTTTCCAGACCAATTTCCCGGCTGCGAAAGAGTCGGAAGTGTCCCCTCAACCTCAAAGATTATCGTACCCAGTGGCGCACTTGAACCGTATGAGATAAATTTATAGTACTATAATAGTGAAAATAGCAACCGTCGGACTGCCAGTTACCGTATCCCCTCCAACCCGAGCCGGCAACCCGGATTCTATTTTAAGAGACATCATCATCACATCACAACAACCCAGATAAAACGAAAACCCCACCCCGTACCCACTCTACGACAAACCGCGACGTGAAATGCCCCTCACCAATGAGCTCCTCCTCTAAATCTCATCTTACCTTCACCCGCGACACCACTCCGCTCTTATACGAACGAACCTCGCCTGCACAGCGCCCTTTCAGACGTGCTCATAGCATCCCTGTGCCAACCTCCAAGAGAAACCACCGACAACGGTTCCAGCAAATGGGCCCCAAAGGCACTCTACTCCGCCCTCACATCTCAGGATGTGAAAACAGTGCAAAGGCTAGTCTCGCGGGGGGTTGCGAGAGTCGTGGGAAAACCCATGGAGGTGAGAGATATATTTGGCAGCACCGGCAGAAATCGCGCTCTCCTGAATGATGTGATCGTTACTTTGGAAAGCACCGACGCGGTCAGGCTGCTACTGCAGTGCGGTGTTGATGCTGACACCAAGGAACTCCTCGTTGGCTGGACGCCGCTCTTCCGAGCCATACATCTTGGGAGGGGGGATATGGTGCGGCTATTTGTGAATAGGAAGGATGTTGACGTCAATCTCCAGGACCGCCGCTCCTCTACACTACTATATAAGGCCATTCTTTGGTGTAAGGGTGAAGCAGCCCGAGCTTTGCTGGAAGATCCACGAGTAGATGTCAATCGACGGTATTGCCAAGAAAAGGGAACGGTGTTACATCTCGCTATTCATTGTTACAACATCGGCGTTACGAGGGCATTGCTCGACAGGCAGGACATAGATATTAACATTCCGACAGAGCACGGGGGTACGCCGTTGTATCATGCTGTCATCAAAGGGTTCGGTAGTGGTGTTGAAGCGCTGCTCGAGCGTCCGGATGTAAAGTTGGACAGTGTAGACTCCGAGGGGAAAACGGTGCTGCATGCTGCCGCTGCCGTGCCGGGTACGGGCGAGATACTTCGGTTGCTTCTTGCACAAGACGAGAGGCGGCTCCCGTCCCTGAACCTTCGGGAGTTGACGGGCGGCTGCACGCCGCTGCACCTTGCTGTCATTTCCGGGGACCCGAACATCGTGCACACCCTACTTTCGGACTCGAGGGTTGATGTTAATGTTCTGGACGGCGCTGGTGCGACGCCTTTGTACCGCGCTACCGCCATGGGACGCGAGGTATTATTGAGGATGCTGCTTGATCATCCGGGCAGCAACCATGCCAGAGCATTTGCAGGAATGGATATCGGGGACACTTCTGCCTGTGAGAGCCCGTTACCGGATGTTAGTCGAAACATGATGGAATATCTCTCCTAAAGGAAACTAGGAGTGGGGGGTACGGGGGTTTTTTTTTTTTTTCGAAAGGTTGGCCAGGCCAGACATAGCGCGGGGGGTCCAACAGCATCTACTAAACAAGAGTCACAAGTGAGAGATACAGTAAGCTATCCATGCCCTACCGATATATAAAACTACTGTGAATGATAAAAAAGTATATATTCTAGCCAAGATCGAGTCAGGCAAATTCCTAATGAGCGCGTGCCATATCATCTTTTCAAGCCTGAGAAGAGACTCCAGTAATGGGAGGTAGGGACTATGTGTACCTGAAGAGCGGAGTGCCACCCGCCCATGCTCGTCAATCGGCATCCCCTCACCGATTCTCACTCATATCTTGACAAGACCAACGAAATAATCCCCTAACCTGCTAGACCGAATGCGACAGGGGACAATTTGCACAGTGAATGATAACGAGAACAGGAAACAAGGAGATGGTCAGGGTGAATCACCGGTGCCTTCCGTAGATACGGGTAGAATAAGCATCGGTACATGTGGCTTAAATGCCCCTGTTTTCCGGTTCACCCTAGCGGTAATTATATGTGGATGCATCGTTTCCTGATGAGGTCGAGGCCTTCTGAATATTTGCGTTTTGTTTGATAATAGTTGGGCACAAGTCATCGTCTGTTGGGTAAAGCATGATATCACCCCTAAAACACCAAAACCGGCGAAATTTGGCCCTCCAACCAAGTCCAGGAACCCCAATATACTAATTATTGCCAAAATGTAGCGATGGGTAGCTGGTAACCTGGGGATATGGTTCATGTCTCTTTAGCTGCAATTAATTGTGAATTGGCCATTCCGTAAGCAAGAGAGGCTTGGGGTGTCTGGATATGTTTGTGCCAAGCCTGGAAAATTGTATTGTACGAGTACTGGTATGTATCATACTGTACCAGTACTTATTCACACCCTGACCCACAATGCGAGACACATCTGATCCGGCTGAAATTTGGGCATTGTGAAGCCCATACCGGTATCAGGACCTGATATCTGGAACTTATATATAATCAATTGGGGTCGACATGGAACAAAGGAAATAATAATATGATACCTGTTTGGCTTACAAGTAACGCGCTGTCCACACACAGACTAATCCTTATCGGTACCATAACGATTATATAATCAGCGGTCGTCGATGGCCCTCAAGTAGGCTCTGGGCCTAGTGAACCAGGAGGGCAAACGCTGCCTTCAAGTTCACTGAGCCCACAATAGCTCCGGTCGGCGCCCGGTACCCAACCGCTATATCGAATCCTTAACTTCAACCCGGTGCGAACCGCACTAATAGCACCTGCTACAACTCGAGATCTGTTCAAGCCTTGTGGGGGGTTGGGGCGAGGAATGGATCCAGTCTCGAGAAGGAGATATGTCGATGCCGCGTTGGCAGATACACAGGGCCGAACACCGCTTTCATGGGCTGCCCGCGGGGGGCACGAGGAGATTGTCAAGCTGCTATTAGGGCGGAAAGGTGTTAGCGCCGATAGGCCGAGCCGCGATGGCCGAACCCCGCTCTGGCGTGCTGCCGGTAGGGGGCATGAGGGGGTGGTAAAGCTACTGTTGGAGCGGAAAGAGGTCAACCCTGACAGTATAGACAATCACTTTGGACGAACACCACTCGCTTGCGCTGCCTGGAGGGGACGTGAGGGAGTGGCGAAGCGACTACTGGAACGGAAAGATATCGACCCTAATATACCCACCCACCAAGGGCTAACGCCACTCTCATTGGCTGCTGCGCAGGGGCACGAGAAAGTTGTGGAGCTACTGCTAGAACGGGGAGATGTCAAGCCCGAAATGTCGGAAGGTAGCAGTCTACCACCACTCTCATCGGCTGCGTTTGGGGGGCACGAAGGAGTGATGAAGCTACTACTGGCACGAGCAGATGTCAACCCCGAAATATTAGATCGGAAGGGCCGAACGCCCCTGTGGTGGGCTGCCATGAGGGGGAAAGAAGGAGCTGCTAAGCTACTATTGGAACGGAAAGAAGTCGACCCTAATAGACGAGACATCAGCGGCCAGGCGCCACTCTGGGTGGCCTCCCACCGGCGCCAGGAGGGGGTGGTGAAGCTGCTATTGGAACGAAGTGACGTCAACCCCAACACTCAAGACCAATGGGGTTCCACACCACTCTCGAGGGCTGCGGAGTGTGGCTGGGAGAGAATTACCAAGCTACTCTTAGAGCGGGAAGATATCAACCTCGGCATCCCGAGTGCCCCCGACCGAACTCCCCTCTCTCGCCATTGAGAGTCAACGTTTTGGAGTCGTGAACTACTACGAAGGATATGCGCCGCTTTCGCCAGACTCCCGAGGCATACCGACCACTGAGGAGGCCGCTCAGCCTACACGTTCCTCTAAGCTCCTCCCGATCCCCTAGAGGGTAGGACGCTATCCTATGGGCACCTCCGTATCTCCCTTCCATTCCACATCCCATCGAGAAATACAGATTCGATCTCAACCTCTGTTCGAGATAATATGTGTACGCTCGCTTGGACATTCCTGAACCCTTGCTAGCATTCACGAGTGGAGATGATACACCTATCGCCTGACCCCCCCATATTTTCCCTTTCCTTTCTTGTATCTGAGTTACTTTCTGGTTACGAATTCTGCGTCTTTTCTACCCTCACATCCTTCCCACCCTTATCTCCTGAGAACGTTCATGCATATATTAAAAAGTTCACATCAAGATTTACTATCAACGCAACCACTGTATGTAGGAAACAAATGCACCCGAAACAGTAGTTAGCCCAGATAGCGGGGAACACTATCCCCGCTGCAAAGCGAGATCATAAGATATTTGTCATGCGCCAAAGACCCAAGTTACCCGGTGCATTGCAAACAGGTTTCTGAAAATATTAACGGTGACCAAACATCCGATGTGCGGAGTGATCCTGACGAGAAAATGAGAATGGAAGGTATTATGAACACTCCCGAAATAGTGCGCTACCGTTCACTAGAGAAGAGAGAAGCGGGGATAGAGGGGGGGGATATAATGATCCAAAATACGGAGGAGGGAATACCAACCCGTCCGAGATGGTGGGTAAGTATCATAGCTCAACCTACATCCCATCTCTTGCTAATACATTGATGATGCTCGACGATGACCTACTGTTGAATATGTATCTCTCGTAACTACAGATTTGGAAGGGATTCCGGATTGTTCTCAGAGGAGAGTACAGCTGCATTCGCCCCCATTATTTATGATAAGTCTATTAATAATATTCTCAGAAATATTGATGACTTA